CATTTCACCAACTTTTGAGGCTCTAACATCAGTAGAATTAGATGTGAGGCAAGACAAAGTTCAATTTTTCTGCTATTTTGACTTGAAACGTGCCTAAAATTGTCCAAAATTGTAATAATGAACAATTACTAGCTCTTGAAATTGTGAAAAAGTGCAAACTTTTCAAAAAGGCTGGCATTGTGTCTCTATAAACTTCCTGTATGTGTATATATATATATATCCATATTTCCTACTAAAATACAGTCTTTGGTCGACATTTCACCAACTGTTGAGGCTCTAACATCAGTACAATTCGATGTGAGGCAAGTCTGACAAGAAAAGCTTCCAATTTTGTACTATTTTGACTTGAAACTTGCCTGAAATGACTTGAAATGAAAACAAAACTGCTGTTCATAGGGTCTATGTGTTGTCATCATATGTGCAAAGTTAAAAGCTGCTTCCATGCTTTCATCATGAGGTTGTCTGGTATTTATTTCTGCCTCTACAGGTAATGCTGACAGGCCGCCACATGGAGGCGCTGTTGAGTTAAACATGTGTCGCGTCGGCGCCTGAAACCCTCCAGTTGTGAATATTAACAGGTGCTGATGAAGACTTGATACCGGCAGCCAGAGATTCACTGCTGAGAGCTCAAGTGTCACATCTCAGGGGCAAAGTGCTGCTTCGGCTGAATATTTCAGTGTCTGGTTGAAATATTGAACGCGGTTTGGGAAGCTGTTGTTCAATCTGCTGCGACTTTAGACATCTGGCTTTACATCTGGTGATGCTACAAAAACATTGTAAGCATCTGAACATGTACAGTAAAATTCATGTCTCTGGGTTGTCGCTCGATTTGATTTAAAGAGAGAATCTTTGTGGTTTAGCTATTTAGATTTAAAATGTCACTCATATTTAATCACAGTTCTTAGTTCGGCTTGTGCAGAATCATGAATGTGTCTGATGATGATGACGATGATGCAGAAATGAGAAAACTTTCTAAGAATTTTTTATTATGACACCGTACATGGAGGAGTTCAACTTTTAGCATAACAAGAAATCAAACGTGAGGAGCTGTTTTGTTGAGAACAGTGCATATGTTAATAACTTTTAAATATTGCACAACATAAAAAGCTGGCTGCTGTGAATTAATCACGTTAGCATGAAAAGCCTTTAATGCACAATTTAACCTTAAAAAGAATTAAAAAAAGAAACACAAATTTACATATGAGAGACATAAAAGCGACTATAAAGGGAGGTAAAAATACAGCTGCATGAAAAAGAAAAAAAACATCCCATCCCTGAGGATTAGTTGACTTTTTCAGCATATTTAAGCAAACACTTGATCCTCTTTGAAACACCGCCTGCATTTAAATACTCTGACAAATGACACATAAAATGAAAGGTTTTGTCGTCACTCGCGTGCATGAAAAATAGATCAATCGGATGGAAAAGTGTGAGAACAGTTGTGCATTTATCACAATTCCCAATCAGTGCTGTTCAAATCAGACCTGATTAGAACTTCTTTGCAGCTCGACAGGTCGGCGCGTCATTAAGCCAAAGATCTGAAGAGCCCTCTGAGGCATTCAGAAAAGAGGAAATCAGTGGATGCCTGTGATTCTGGCGAAAGATCTCCAGCGTATTTGAACTTGAACGCTTCCTCTGTGAAGGGGGCGAAGATTTCAAACAGCTGTCAGTGTTTGGAGGGCCGGACCGGCTGCTGCTCCGGCGCATTCAGCCCACGAGCCAAGCGTTTGATGCAAAAAAACAAGCCTTCAGTTTCATCACAGGTAGCTCTGCAACTGTTGGTGTCAGAGCGCTGCATCGACAGTCAGAGAGAGATTTGGACCTGCAAGGGAGAAAACTTTACTGTGCAGAAAGAAAAAACATCGCAAGCCTGCAGGTTAGCAGCGAACAGGCCAGCAGAGAGCAGGGGTTTTGGGATAATGTGCTCCAGACAGAACAGTAGTTTGGTTCAGACTAAAGGCTGCTTCCCAGGAGAAAAACTTCAGACCAGCTGTGAAACGAAGCACGATGTAAGAAAATTCTCCAACTTTTTCTCAACTTCAGGAGTTTAAATGAAAGATTTGTCAAAGATTACAGCCGGCGTCAGAGATTGACGGATATTTCTGCCAAATTAAATTTTTTTTCTGCTTAAGAAAAGTCATTTGAGGAACGTATTCCCATTAAATAATTAAATGCACGATTAAAGAAACAGAAAACAAATTGATTTACAGATTTAAATAACACTTTTTTGATGGGTTTAGTTGCATCAACTAAATATTTTGTGTAATGTAAACTCAAAGTCCTGCGTTAGTTGATTCAAAACTGAATTCAAAGTGAGATAACTGAATGAAACTGGACAAATAATTCAAGTTTTCCTTCCCCTGAGTTTAGGATTTCGAGTCGCCTCCTCTATCTTAACATGAATGGAAAAAGTAAGGACTTGTAATATAAAACACTTTATATTGTAGAGGAAAAGTTAATTCCTCTGAACTCGACGTAGTTTGTTGTTGGAAGTTGTCTTAACTCATAAAGATTGATGCAATCTCTTTTTAGTTGAAGTTTTTGAAATTTAAGCCACAAAAGAAAATAAAATCTGTTGATATTTTTGTTCGCTGAATGAATAGAAACCTTTCCTCCTGGTGTTGTTTAATGACCTTAAGGACTATTTCCTCGCTAAATTCTTTGAGAACGAATCGCTGCGTAACTTCTCATCTTTTCATTTCTGCATTTTCGCTGCAGCTCCGTCAGACTCGTCCCGCTCTTTGTGTGTCGTATTTTGCTGGAGGTTAATCTCCCGGAAAACAGCGACCGAGTCCGCCCTACCTGTGAAATATTGGGCTGGCGAGCATCCCAAATAACAATAACCTTGGGCCTCTCACGTTGAATAACTCAAAAAAATCCATCCTTCTTCCTCTTCTTGTCCTCTCTGGAGGCGAGCTTATCTAAATAGAATTGATTGACCCGAGCGATCATTCATCATGCTGAGCCGAAGCAGACGTTTAAGGAGAGGGGGGGGAGGAAGATTTTGAGGATAGGATATTTCCATCAGGCTGCCGTGTCATTGAGGTAAACTAAATAAATTGATTGGGCTTAAAAAGGATGGACACTGTGTGTGTTGGGGGGGATAGAAGAGAAAACCTGGGTACAGTGCAGCCTGTTGAATTTAAATTGCTCATAAAGTCGGCTTAGAAGAAAATTGTTGCTAATTCTATTTTATTTCCAATCAGCCACAAGGAACAAGACGGGAAAAAAAAGAGAAAAACGAGCGCCAAGGACGGTAGATGATGAATTAGATGACACAATGAGAGGAGAGCTCATCATATCTGTTCATTAGCCGAGGAGACTCTCTGCAGCGGTCGTGATTAGCTCCACTGTTCCGGCTCGCTGTGTTTTATTTTTCCCGATTCTCTGGCACGATCCCAAACGCAGCGTCGTCCTCCGAGCTTTGACCTACTAAACCGAAGGACAAACAAACCCTCGGAGCTGTTTTTTCCTTCTTTCTCTGCTCTACTTTTCTTACTACTTGCATCAAAACAAAGCACTACTTCACAATCGACCTACTCAAATTAATAATAAATTACTAATTACAAAAAACAGCTGCAGTTCCTCAAACGGCCACTTGAGGCTGGTTTCGGAAAGGGAGTAAATCCTCATAGACCTCCATGTTAAAGTGTCAAACTTCACAGCAGGAATAAACATGTTTACATCCTGCTGCAAACATCGTTTTTGGCCTCTATGACTAGTTTCCTCATTCATGACAACCGTGCAGGAGTTTAATTGTTATATATGTTGCAAATTTAAATTGTATTATGGCTTAAAGTTGCACAAAATCGAAGGCGTTACTCCACATTATTGATTATTATTGGATGAGCCAGTTCCTGTTCGCTGTCTGCACTGAAAGAAGATGAAGCAACTTTAAGCTGTTTGTCCAAATTAAGCAACATCAGCGCCATTGGGTGAAATTAGATGCATTTTCTTTACCAAAATACAAAACGTAAAACAGGATTAGTCTCAGTGTTTTCTGTGATCCTACATCATCAAACGTCACACAGACATCAGTTCTTA